TGGAATACATTGTCTATAAGTGATGTTCGAAAGTTTATTCGAATATTACAAAATGATTTTGAAGATAAAATGAGGGTGATTTTTACATGTCATAATGCGCAACTATTTATTATGTAAATTGACATTTCCTTTACGTGAAATTTAGAATACAGAAGCGGAAGGTACAATTTCTAAACTTTTTATTGGCACTATGAAAACTCATATTAAATGTGTTAATGTGGATTATGAGTCTTTGCGTTTTGAAGATTATTATGGTTAGATGTAAAACATTATCATATTAACTAATGATTTTGTCTTTTATAGTTTTTTTGACATTAGTTTATTTTCAATAGACGTTCAATTTGATGTTAAAAAATGCAGCACTCTAGAAGATTCTTTTACTGAATATGTACAAGAAAAAATTTTAGATGGAGACAATAAATACCATGCAGAAGTCTATGGCCTACAAGTAACGTGTTTTTCTTCATTTATCTACGACTCCTTACTAAGATAATAAATATTGATATATTACGTGATATTGTTTATATATAAATTTGTAGGTTGCCAAAAAAAGTGTGGTCTTTGAAAGCTTTCCACCTATATTGCACATACACTTAGATCGTTCTGAATACGATGCGCAGAATAACATTGTTAAGGCATGTATATTTAGGATCATAATTTTATATTCTCCTTATTAACATTAATTATTGTTATAGTCAAATAATCGTTACGAATTTCCTATGGAAATTGATTTACAAAAATATTTATCACCAGATGCAGATAAGTCAAAGCCATATAAATATATATTGCATGGGTTTATATTATAAATTAATTCTCATATCATAATGTACCATAATGTTTGTCCAGACTAAAAACCAAATTTTATTTGATTAAATAGTGTACTTATTCACATCACTGACAATGACCGGGATCAGTATTTTGCTTTGTTAAAAACAGAAAAATATGACGATTGGTTAGTTAAAATTATGTACTTACTTTCATCAGTATAATACTTAATTAGGCCATACAAATTTAATTACTTGGTTTTCATAACATGCATCTTTTAAATAGACCCGGCCGGCCGGCTTTTT